TTTCTGGCAGATTGTTGAGTTCAGTTTCCTTTGACCCTTTTTCTGGGGTTTGTGAGATTTTGGTCTGAACCATGTTGTTTTGACATTTCATATTTCTCTGTGGTGCCCTCTAGTGCCCAGAAGCTCCAGTCTCTGGAGCTGCTCAGCCCCTAGAGTGAGGTTGAGGGTTGTAGGGGAGTGGAGCTGGTGCCTGTGGGGAAGAAGGAGCTTTTTCCTGCTTTTTGGCTTCAGTGCCTGTCTCTAATGTCAGAGCCAGTGGGCTGAGCACACAGATGTAAGCCTCTGTGCTTGGTGTCACCTGCTATTGTAGGCAGGGCCTCCCTCTGGCTGGCCTGACGACAGTGCAGTGATGACCAGTTTGCAAGCTGGTGCCTGTAGACCAGGAGGGATGTGCTGTAGGCTGTGTGTCACAGTGGGGAGCCTTGGAGATGAGCAACCAGCCAGGGGAATGGAGCGCCTGAAGCTCCTCAAAGTTCTCAACCTCCTGGACAGAGTGTGCACAGACAACCTTGTACAGCTCTCCCTTGTCCCATGCCACAAGGTCCATGCAAACCCCTCCCCTTCAGCAGCTCTCTCACTGCTAGGAAACCTCTCAGCCAACCTGCTTTTCCCTTGAGCCAGAGAGGCGGGGTGTGGATCCCATCCTCCACAAATGGCTGGAATCTCAGTCTCTCAAGCACTCCACCTAACTGAGCTGCCCATCCTCCAGAGCACCACACAATATAGGTTTCTGTTTGGATAGCTGACCTCTAGGGCTGGGTGTTCATCAGTTCTAGGCCTCCACCACTTCCCCGCTCTGTTTCTCTTCTTCCCACCAGTGAGCTGGGGTGGGGGAAGGTCTTGGGTCCTGCCAATCAAGGCTTTAGCATGTTACCCTGTGTCATGAGGTCTGCTCTGTTCATGAGGTCTGTATGGTGTCTGATGCAACCTTCTTTCCTGTTTCTGTCTTAGGGCTAGTTGTGTTAACTATATTTTCATGCTCTATGTGGTTATGGGAGGAGTTCTCTGCTTCACCTGTCACGACGCCATCTTGAATAAAAAATGCAACTCACTTTTGAGTATTTATTTTGTATCTTGCAACTCTGCTTTGTTCTTTACTTCTGAAAGTCTTGTTTTTGGTGGAATCTTTAGGGTTTTCTATGTAAAAGACCATGTCACATGTAAAGAGCGAGAGTTTTACTTCTTATGATTTGAATGCTTTTGATTTATTTTTCTTGCCTAATTGTTCTGGTTAGGACTTCTAGTATTATTTTGAATTGGAGCAGTGAGAATGGGTATTCTTGCCTTGTTCTTGATTTTAGAGTAAATGCCTTCAGTTTTTCACCATTGAGTATATTAGTTGTGGGTTTTTCATATATGGTCTTTATTATATTTAGAATAAGTAATATAAAAGGAAAGAAAGAACACAATGCTATTTACCATTGCACCACAATAATTACTTGGGAATAAATTTAACTAAGAAAGTGAAAAACTTGTACACCAAAAACTATAAAACATTGCTGAAGGAAATTAAGGAAAACACAGATAAATGGAAAGATATCCTATGTTTATGGACTGGAAGACTTCGTACTGTGAAAAAGTCCATACTACCTTGAGCAAACTACAGATTCCATGCAATGTCTATCAAAGTCCCAAAGGCATATTTTAAAATAGAAATAGAAAAACAATCTTAAAATTCATATGAAATCACAAAGGACCCTGATATTCAAAATAATCTTGATGAGGAACAAAGCTCAAGAATTCATACTTGCTGACTTCAAAATAGTATAAGACTACCATAACCAAAAGTGTATGGTATGAGTATAAGGATAGACATATATATCAATGGAGCAAAATAAAGAGCCCAGAAGTAAACTCATGCATATATGGTCATATGATTGCTGACAAAGGTGCCAGGAATACACAATGGACAAAAGATAGTTTCTTTAAGAAACTGTGTCAAGAAACTGGATATCCACATGCAATAGAGTGAAACAGGAATAATATAAATGGAATCCTTATTTAATACTGTATGCAAAACTCAATTAAAAAAATCAATGTAAGAACTGAACTGCAAAACACTGAGAAGAAAACACAGGAGGAAAGCTTTATAACATTGGTCTTAGCATTGGATTCTTGGATATGACACCAAAAACACAGGTAACAAATGCAAAAATAATCCACTGGGACTGCATCAAACTAGATAGCCTGTACTCAGCAAGAGAAACAATCAACAGAGTAAAAAGGCGATCTATGCAATGAAAAAAATATTTGGAAACCATATATTTGATAAGTATTAAAAACCAAAATTCATAAGAAAGTCCTATAACTCAATAACAAAACCAATGAACAATCTGATTAACAAATAGGCAAAGGACTTGAATAGGCATTTCTCCAGTGAAAACACACAAACAGCCAAGAAGTGTATGAGAAGATGCTCAACATCATTAATCATTAGGGAAATGCAAATCGCAAAGACTTCATGCCTATTAGGCTGGCTAATAGCAAAAAACAAAACAAAAGTTTGTAAGTGTCGGTGAGGATGTAGAGAAATTGGAACCCTTGAACATTGTTGGCAGGAATGTAAATTTGTGAAATTGTTATAGACAATAGTATGGAGTTCCTAAAAAAGTTAGAAATAATGCTAACATATGACCCAGCAATCTAACTTCTGGGTATATATCCAAATGAATTGAAATCAGGGTTCTGAAGAGATTTTTGCACTCTCTGTTCATTGTGTTATTGTTAACAATAGTCAGGATATGAAAGCAACCCTAGTGTCCACTGACAGGTGAGTGCAGGAAGAGAATGGTGTATACATACAAGGGAATATTATTCAACCTTAAAAATGAAGGAAATCTTACCGTTTGCTACAAATGGATGGACCTGGGAGACACCCTGCTACATGAAATTAGTCACCAAAGGGCGAACACTGCATAATTCCTTTTATTTGAGACATCTAAAATAATGAAATGTACAGAAATAGACAATAAGATAGTGGTTATAAGGGGAGGAGGAGGGGGATATGTGGAATTGTTGCTAAATGGGTATAAAGTTACAGTTACACAGATAAAACAAATTGCAGAGATCTGTACAGCACAGTGCTTATAGCTAACAGTAAGGTATTGTGCATTTAGAGCTTTGTTAAGAAGGTAGATCTCATGTTAAGTGTTCTTTCCATAAATAAGAACAACAAAGGGACATAAAAAAAAAACTAATATGATATTACATACTTAAAAGTTCATGAAGAGGATAGATCTTACATTGTCTTCTTATCACATGGAAAAATATTAATAATAAGTGAAGAGAGTGGGAGAAAAAGTAGGTAAATAGTCAAGTTTTTTTCAAATTGGAGAAAGTAGACAATTATGGTAACATTGAGGATTTAGTGGCAGATATTCAAATAAATAAACACTATTGAAAATTAGAAAAAAATAATTGGAACAGTGAATTTTCTTAGAAGAAAACTATAAGTATGCATTCTGTTACTGTGACATTTGGAGACTGTGGAAATGAATAAACTAGTCACAGCTGAAAGGAGAGAGAGAATGTGTTAGGTTTGCTCCTAATGAAGTCAGCTATCAGCTCGTGAAACAATTCGTATTTCTCAATTTGAGTATATTTGCAGTATCATCAAATAATCATCATAACAATAATGATACTAGCTAAATTTTGTTGACTGTTTACTTAACGTCAAAGCAGTCTTTCCTAAGTGCCTTAATATCTTGTATCAGTTAGTTCTCACAACACCCCCAAAAGACGGGAATTTTTTTTAGTTTCAAGATAGTTGACATATTAGTGTCTGGTGTAGAAAATAGTGCAATTATGCCCATATACAAAATGCTCACCACAAGAAGTGTAGTTACCGTAAAAAGATATTACAGGATTATTGACCATATTCCCAATGTAGACTTTTCATCTCATGAATTATTTTATAATTGGAAGTTTGTACCTCTCTATCCCTGTCACCTGTCTCACCCATCCCCCTCACTCCTCCCTCCTGGCCACCACCTGTTTGTTCTCTGTACTGATGACTCTGTTTCTACGTGTGTTTCATTTGTTTTGCTTTTTAGATCCCGCATGAAAGTGAAATCACATGGTATGTGTCTTTCTCTCTCTGACTTATTTCACTTAGCACAATGCCCTCCAGGTTCACCAGCAGAAAGATCTTAACCTAAATTTCATGAGTGGAGAGTGGCAGGTGCAGAGAAGCCTTGCGTACATGGAGTAAAGATCCTTGCAGGATTGGTTTTCAGCCATAACTTTCCCCCAAAATCTTGTTTTTCTTTTTTCCTCTCCTTCCCTGCACCAAACTTAGAACCCTCTGTTCCATTCCCTATGGTGGTGGGATGCATAGGGTCTGGTTTCTCTTTGGTTCATTTACTTGGAGATCAGAGTCCTTGTTGCCCCCAGCTCAAATTAAGTCTGACATGTCTCCCCAAATGAGGAAATTCTGGGCCCATATTCTATTGTGCTGGTGCAGAAATCCAAGGTTAAGTGTTTACAGTTTTACATTGAATTTAGGATAAAAGTGGCTTTAGTGCTTCCAACATTTTCTGGACACAGATTTAACAAAGAGTTGGACCCAAAATTCTCTATTTCCTTTTTGTCCCTTCCCTGCCCTTCTACTTCTGTGCCTCCCTCCTTCTTTACCTCCCTCCCTCCCTCCCTCCTTCCATTTTCCTCAGCATGTTTTATGATTTCACTAGGATTGCTTATACGAAGAACCTAGCCTATCATTTCTGGAAACTGAACCCATTTAAAGACATTTTGGATGTAAAATAGAAGCTCTTCATTAGATCTTCAAGCTGTTTGTAGTTTTAGAGCCTCTAACGTTAATCTGAGAGCTTCTACAGTGACCTCTGTGTCTTTTCTAGTCTCCCGACTACACCTCAGTGATGGCGTGTTTGGCTCATGGTTTACAGTGGAGACTTTCACGATCCGCTGCTTATGTAAGTCACTTCTTTGCTGACTGACTGCTTTGCATAGACCCCTCCAGGCCCAGAGCAGCTACTCAGGGTTTATAAAAGGGGCCTTTGCCATGGGAGCTGAGCTGCATCAGGCAGGCAGGAGCAGCAAGATGGTGTCACAGACGCAGGTCCTCATGTTCTTGTTGCTCTGGGTCACAGGTGAGGAATTCACAAGCGCCACAATCCTTTTGGAGCAATTAATATTTTCTTAGCGTCAAAACATTTTAAGATATAATGAGAAATACTGGCTATTTCCAAAAGAGGCCCAATTTTGTATTGACATGTAATGCCATTAGAAAGCCTATTTTAAAATGGCGTATTTCAAGGTGTGTAGCATAAAGTGGTATGTGTGTGTGTCATCCTTATCCATTTGTGATTGCAGGTGCCTGCGGGGACATCGTGATGACCCAGTCTCCAGCCTCCTTGGCTGTGTCTCCAGGACAGAGGGTCACCATTAACTGCAGGGCCAGTCAGAGTGTTAGCAGCTACGTAGCCTGGTACCAGCAGAAGCCTGGGCAGGCTCCAAGATGGCTCATCTACTTGGCATCCACCCGGGAATCTGGGGTCCCTGACCGGTTCAGTGGCAGTGGGTCTGGGACAGATTTCACTTTCACCATCAGCAGTGCCCAGGCTGAGGATTTGGCAACTTATTACTGCATGCAGGGTGACAGCTATCCTCCCACAGTGCTTCAGCCTCCAACACAAACCCCAGGGTTATGGGCCAGTGCATTCCTGCTGTGCCAGGTGCTTCCTCCCCCCACAGCTTTGAACACACACATACCTCTATCCTTCTGAGAGGTCTCACCTCCTGACTTATTCCTGGCAGCAGGTAGAGCCCAGGAGAAAATTCAGCCAGTTGGATTTTACTGGATCCCATTTTGTGGGAGATTATTGAAGACCAATGCTCTGAAGATCTCTTAAAGATGCTGCCAGGAGTTGTGTCATAGGGACCTGCATGTTCCCAATGGACACGTCCCCTGCGTGAGCCAGGAATGTTGGTCACCTTCTCTCAGCACATCCTGTGAATTTTACACTTGGTGGATCAATTCTCTCTTCCCCGTTCCTCCTTGACTGGCATATTTCTATTTCAATTCCTTATTCTCACAGTCTTCCTTCTTTATCTGTGATCACCCTTGAACTCTGGACCTTCCCAATAGTAAACCCTTGGCTTCTCTCATTAAAAACCTTCCACATAGCATGTGGCATCCCTCCCTTGCATTTCCTTTCCATGGACCCTGTTTTCCAGCCAAGCCTTTCTGGCCACTGTCACTGCAGCTGCTCTCCCACTCTGTGCCCTTTTGTACCACCCTTTGCTCTTGAGTCCATTTCTCTCCACTGTACTCATTCTTACAAAGGTGATTCCCTAATTCTTTCAGCTGTCATTCTAGAAAGATCTAGTAGTGTTCCTCAGTACCTTTTCTCATTATATGTCAACTTTCCCTTTAAAGCCATCCCTTGGATTTGTAAGTGAAGGAAGTTGTGGTTTTAAGTGTGCTATAAGTTAAATTCCTTGGGTAACAGGTAATTAACTTGACCATTTCAGTGTAAAAGTGGAAGACTCTAGTCATTTCAGTATTGTTCCTTCACCTTCTTGTGAAATAATGTAATTCACATTTAGGAATGATTGCTGCAAATCTGACTGCAAACCTTGTTGGCTAGGAGGAGACATTTAAAATCAATGAGTTATTACTTAGCTATTGTCATGTAATAAACCACCCAGAAATGTGTAGTTGCTTAAGATGGCAGTGTTTTTATTGCTGTCATGCTTATTGTTAGCTCAGTAGTTCTGTTAATATGGGCCAGGCTTGATTGACCTTGGCTGGGTGGCGCATGTATTTGAAGTTGGCTGTCAGAATCACCTTGTGCTAGCTGATGTACAAAGGATTGCATTTCTATCTTCTCCTTCCCATTTCTGTAGCTGGCTGACCATCAGCTGAGGCTCTTTAGGTGACTGGCTTCATGTCTCTCCTCATCTGGTAGATGGCGTTTAACTCCGATGGCAGTTGGCAGCATCTCGAGAGAGAGAGAACACACACCACCTGCTTAAACCTAACCACGAAGTGACATAGTGTCCCACTGCCACATTCTAGGTCAGTGTAATGGATGCCACTGAAGAAGAATGTAAATAGCCCCTGCTTCTTGACATAGGAACTGTAGAGTGACATGGCCTAATGCATGGTTATGGGGAGGGATAAAGATGGGGACCTGTTTCTGCAATCCTTCCATGGATGGTCATAGAAGGTTACCCAGAGAATATATGACTTAATCGGTGCCTTAATATATAGATGAAATGAGACATAGGAATACTTCCAGGAAATAGAGTCCTAGTTTGAGGAAACAGCACATTTCTGAGGCAGATATGTGATCACACGTAGAAAAAGAATGAAGGCAATGTTGCTAAAATGGAGCGTGCAAGGGGACAGCAGGGGAAGTAAGATCAAAGGCCACATTGTGTAGGACTCTGTGGGTCTCTCCGAGGACTGGGGTTTTGTTTGAAGGATGTGGTCAGTGGTAGAGCTCTGAATAGGGAAGAGGGAGCTGGCAGTCCCACCCTGATAAAACTCTCCAAGTGGAAACTTTCTCTTATCTGGACACAGGAGCAGGGCCTCTACTTACTGCCTGTCACCCTCTGGAGGGCTCAGACCTGATCCCCAGAAGAGACCTGTTTGTCTGGCTCTGACCACAGAGCTGCCCGGGGCTGACAGTGTGGATGTTGGTGCAAATCCCCAGAAGGATGAGGCGGGGCTGGTGGATTCAGGTTGTGGTTGCACCTGGTGATGCTTTTGCAAGAGCCCCGGGTGCCTGCCCCACCCAGAGTTGCCCCTGAGGACGTGACCAGGGTCACAGATGTGGTGGGTGTGACCCCCAAACAGCATGTTGACAGACTCTGGTCCTGATTGGGGTGGCTCCTGTGCTTATTATAGTCCCCGGAAGGACCAGGCCCCTGTGAGGTGCAGGCAGCTCTCCTGTGAGGACCCAGAGCAGTTCTGGGAGCCTCAGGCCAGCCAAGGGTCCCTGCGCCTGCGCAAGCTGGAGCCCCTCATCCCAGATGCTCCTTTCCACAGGGATGAGTCTGGGGGTGTGGGGCTGTGACCCAGGAAAAAGAGAACACAGGACTTTCTTTCTCAACTTATCCTCAGTGCATTCAGCCATTGGTTGTTTCAGTGTTCATTAAACCAGCCTGAGAGAGAATCAGACAAAGGTTTGTCATTCTTCCCCATGGTGCCCATTTCCCCCTGAGGAGCCATTTCTCCTCCCCTTTAGATGAAATCTCAGGCAAATCCTTCATTCTTTTTAGAAATAATTAAATATTAGTGTCACGTGGACATTTCTTGTCGCAGTTGGTTTCCTAGGTGCCTGGCAATGCGGGCCCTCTGAGGGGGTGAGCACCCCACTGTCCTCCCTCCCCCACCTGTGGTCCACAGAGAGCTGTTGCCTGAGGAGGGAGAAGAGTTGGGTGGCACCAGCTCTCTGTCCCTGCCTGGATCCCAGTATATCTGGCTTTTCCAGGTGTGAGGAGAGCTGTCACACCTCCCTGTACTGGGTCCCTCTCTCATCCAGGCACTCATCTCTGAGGGCTGCACCCTGACCTCCCAGAGCAGTGCCTCAGCCCACCCTCACCTTCGGTTTCCTCAGGCAGGAAGCAGATGTGCAGCCCCCGAAAGTGCCCCCCATCCTTCTGGAGAAACATGATTCTCTCCAAGGCTTCCAGGAGGGGGAAGGTGGGACTCACTAACAGCTCCTGAATGGGCTTTTCCTAATTTCTATTTGTTGACCACCATGTGGTGATTCTTTGTAAAAGAGTCAGTGTCAAAAAGTAGTTTTCAGAAGAAGTAGGAGCATCTCTCATCTTGGAATCTCTCCCAGAAACAGGGCTGAGATGGTCCCAGTGTCCTGTCCCATGCAGGTGCCAGGAGGAGTGCACTCAGTTTGGGGCCTGTGTGACAGCAGACCTTGAGTCGGCCTCACTCTCAGGCCCATGGAGAAGGGAGGCCTTGGAAACAGGATGTTGGTTCCTGATGGGAGGCAGCCCTGGAGGTGAGGCTGTGTTGTCACCTTCTCTGCAGAGGAAACAGTGACCTCTGCCCCTCCCGAGCCCAGGGCTGACCCTCCCCCAGCTCTGTCCTCCCTCTTTTAGCTCCACTCACCAGCCCCTCCACATGTACCTCAAACACACTGCATCTGCATCATGTCCTCAGGTACACTGGCATCTGCCTCCTGACTTTCCTCTGCTTTTCAGCTCCTGTTTCTACTAGAACCTGACAAATGGTCTTCTAGATTTGATGGTTGTTCTATGTGAGAAAAACCTGATTATTAGTTAATCTCCATTATTCCTGTTTGACATATGTTTATACTAGTCCATGTCCTAAGCCACTCCTAAGCCCTTAGGTGGGCTGGCTTTGGATCAGGTGACACTCTCTTCCCGTAGAACATTTCCATTTGTTCAATGTTATTCCTAATTTGATCCCTGTTTCTGGCCTGAGTTTGTGAAGATCCCACCTCAACCACAAGGGAAATCAACCCTCTGGACGTGTGATCTCAGTTTATCTAGTTCCTGTCTTTTTTAAGAACATTGAAACATATTTGACATATGACACCGTGGAAGTTTAAAATGTACTATATTTTGACTTGATACATTTATCTGTTGCAATATGATAAGCACCATAGCTGGATAACTCCTTTATCATGTTACAGAATTATCATTTCTTTTTTATGGTGAAAACGATTTAATATCTAGTCCCTCAGCAACTTTGAAGTTTACAACTTTAAAAAAATAATTTTTATTTTAATTGCTAATCTGTGCATTAGCTCCCCAGAGCTTATTTTTTACTAGTTTCAGGTTTTTACCCTCAAACAATTTTTCCCCAATCCATCAGTACCCTAGTCTCTGCTAACTACTATTCTAGTCTTTGTTTTTATAAGTTCAGCTTTTTAAGACTCCACACATAGGTGAGATCCTAGAGTATTTGTCTTTGTCTGTCTGACTTACCTCACTGAGCATAATGCCCTCAAGGTCCATCCATGTTGCTGCAAATGGCAGGATTTCTTTCTTTCTCATAGCTGAATGATATTCCATTGTGTATATATACACAGCTACTTTGTCCATTGATGGACACTTGGCTATTGTGAATAATGCTGCAATTAACACGTGAGTGCATATATCACTTTAAACTCTTGTTTGCATTTGCTTGGGAAATATGTGCAGGAGTGAAATTATTGAATCATATGGTAGTTCCATTTGTAGATATTTATGGTGATTCTTCCCTTTTTCTGCTCCTTTATCTAATATGCAAGCCCCACCCAATCACTCTCCATTGTCCATCCTGTTTTCCAATTGTCATAGAATTTATTTAAATCTGATTGTAAGCAGAATTGATCAGAAGTGGAACTTAATTTTTTGGAGTATAGAAGGGTGAGGAGTAGAAATAAATTAGCTTAAGTAGTAAAATTTGGTAAATACAATATGGTAAATGAAATTTGTGCTGATCCAGATAAGAAAGGGAGAAATAACCCATGTGACTAATAAATGGCTTATGTTGTTGCGGACTCCAATGTGAGGCACCAAAACGCAGGGCGTGCCCCTGTTGGGTATGAGGGGCTCAGGAGAGGCCTCAGGGACCTGCTGGCTTCCGGGTTGCCATGGAATCTGGGCCTCTCCCTGAGGAAAGTCAGCCAGAGGGAGACAAAGGACAAACAAATGGACTTCTGAGTTAGATGAGAGATCACGTGCTGCCCAGTGAGCTCCTGTTTGGGCAAAGTTACTGAGAACCCCTTGGGAGGGGTTTTGTAGAACGAAGTATTTGCTTCTGAGAGAGGAAGCATTTGGGTGACTGATAAAGGGTTAATTCTTGACCTGTGGGTTGGGTTCACAGGGACTTGTCCTTTACCCCCTGTGTTTGGTTTATGGTGTCCGTAAATAAGTGAACTGAGGCTCGATGCATCGTATTGACTCAGTTTCCTGAAAGAGAACTCAAGGGAAGTCAGCAGAGTTCTTCCTGGACTTCTGAGTTCCTGACCCAATCAATATATCAAAGGCACAAAGGAAGGCGCAGGGCTGGTGGTGTGGGAACATGTCACTTACCCCACTGTCCCTGCAGCCCCAGGGGGAGCGTGGCTGCTACTGTCAGTGTGCTCTGAGGAGAGTTTTGTCCTACCTATTTGAAATGAATAGCAAGCTTTAAGGAAATGGCAAAAAGAGTGAATACCCTCTCAATCCCTTCCCTTAACTTCCTCAAATGTTAACATTTTTCCACATTTGCTCTCTGATTCTTTCTTCATATACATATGATTTTTTCCTGCCCTGAATGTCTGGAGAGAAAGCTCTGGGCATGCTAACCCAAAATAATTTCCTAATAAAAAATGGCATTCTCTTACATTCACATAGGTCAATTCTCAAATTCAAAAATTACCAGTTACAACTGTGCTATCTAACCCATGGGCTGGCGTGGGAGTTGGTGTTCTAAATCTTTTTGTTTTTGCGGGATCTTAAACTTCCTTGCTCTCCTTTGTCCCATCACTGCCCAGACTCCAGAGCGTGCCTTTCCCTCCTGTTCATGCTCCACTTTCCCGAAAATGCCGCCTTTCCCTGCTGCCTCCCTGTGTCCTGGGCACTTGATTGAGCCCGTCCTGCTGCGCCCCTGCTCTGTGACACCAGGGCTCCTCAGTATTTTCATGAAAAGTGGAATTTCTCTTACAGGTGATTTAAGATCAGTTTTCTGTTCTCCTCTGTATAGGTTTTCCAGTCCTCTCTGGTTTTCTGCACAGACCCGTGGCTCTAGTGATGAAATGGGTGTATTTTTCTACTTATAGTTGGTTTAGCAGGTATTTTATGGTCTAGTTATGCTAACAAGACAGGTTTAATGTCATCAGTATCTTATTTTCTGGTGATCTGCACAGCTTCTGAAATTTGTAAGGAGAGATTAAGTTTTGGGTAGCTGTTATTACTGCTTAAATAACCTCTCCGGGTAACTCCTGAAGCACATCCCTCCCATGGTCATGTGGGACCCTCTCTCCCTGCAGCCCCGTGGATCAGGAGTCCTCGGGCCCCAGAGGTTGTCCCCAGCAGAGGACCAGGACGAAGGGGGCCCTGTGGATGGGGGAGTGATGGATGTCAGGCAGGCATATGTCCTCAGGTTTCTTCCAATATTTATTTCACTGAGGAAAATGGCAATTGCTGCTGAGTAACCACTGACGTCTTGTCCTCCTGAGGCAGGTGTGGACTTCCGGTGAGCAGCAAGGGAAAGATTCAGGGCTTCCCACGTGTGTCGGCTCCAGGCTCTCTTGAAGCCTTTTTCTCTGGCACCTGCAGAAGAAAGCAGACCTTCCCGGAGGCTGAGGATGACCAAGAGGAGGCCCCGTTACTACCCAGAGGACCAAGAAGCGTTCAGCCACTTCTGGATTTGCCCTGAGGTGGTTCAGAGACCTTTAAACTGCAGGTGAGAGGACAGGTGCCGTGGGCATCATCTAACCCCTCCTCGGGGTCTTCAGGTGACATTGGGGTGGTTCTAAGGTGTAAGACGACTGACAACAGGCTGTGGTGACCCAAACATTGTCCCTAGTACCCTTGGTACTATTGTGTGTTGAGGGTGGGGTGTTCATCTGAAGTAATTATTGACAGGGAGGAAAAGAAGCTCGTAATTAAGTTTCCTGTTATCAAGTTTATCTGGGGTATATCAGGGTGTTCAGCCCTCCCCATAGACGCATTGATTTATTCCCACCAGTCAAAGTCTTAGACAATAGTGAGCAGACACAATACTGCTGTCTTCATGCCCACATTCTCCTGGGGAGTCACCAACGGTGATATATAAGCTGTGCAAAAACATGACAGTCAGCGATATGTGCTGTGAGGGAGATCCGACCAGGCAATGCTCTCACCGGGTGGGTGTGAACAAGGACTTCATGGTGGAGGCGGTCGGAGAGGACCTCTCTGCAGAGCTGTCAGCAGGCCACTGGCTGGAACATGGGCAGGAAGTGGATGTGTATGTGACCAGCAGAGGGAGGGTGCAGGACAAAGGCCTAGAGGCAGGGCCGGGCTTGGCAGGTCCAGGTAGTAGGGACGCAGGAGACTCAAGGTGGATACACAAGTTGGAGGA